TCGGCCGATTAAACTCCGGTTAACTTTAATCAGAGACGGTACAACTGCCCTAAATGTGTAAAATCTTCAGTTTTTTTTATTTTGTGGGAAAAAGAGCTTAGTTAAGCATGGATTAGTCTGAATGCCTCCCTGTTATTTGTGTCTATAGTTCTATGGGATACTGTCGCACTTGCCACACAGAAAGTCTGATATTTCCAATCAATAACATTCTACTTTTCAAATCACATTTTTCACTCAAATCTGCATAATATAAGAATCATTACCCAAGAAGCTCCATTGTCTGAATATTTTTTTAATTTCCAATCATCCATACTAAACCCCTTGTTGAATGTTGAGGTACCCAATGTAATTAAACATCAATTTTAAAAATGTGTCTCCGTTGAATTACTGCTTTCTTCTTTTATTTATTTTTTTTTCTATTAAATTTCTTAATGAATTAATTATTTGTTTAATTTTTTGCAGTAATCCGTATAATCCATTGTGTTTAGCACCTTATGGGGGTCCAGTGGATCCATCTATTGCTTTAGGAGGTTTTTCCAATTCCAGTGAACCGATAACTAAAATGTCTCCTTATGAAAAAGCGACATCATTGTTATTAACTTTTGTACTCAACAACCACAACAGCAAATCGTTGTTGAAAGACGCACTGGAATGGGAAAACAAGTACCTATAGCTATTTGTATTGTGTTGTACATTTTCCACGATTTGTGTATTAAAGTGGACATATTTTACAGGTTTTTGGATTTCATGAAGAACTGGACTATGGTTTCAAAACCATCTTTCATGGATGTAGCTTATTATTCAGAACGTTCTGTGGAAGATGAATTGGATAGAGAATCACATTCTGACATGTCTACAATAGCTATAAGTTATTTAGTCATGTTTTTATATATAGTCTGCACACTTGGATGGAATAAAATCATACTAAGTTTTTTCGGAATAGTAATTGTTATATCATCTGTTGTTTGTTCAGTCGGTTTTTATGGTATAATCGGTATACCACTATCCTTGATCGTGCTGGAGGTAATTTACTCTACATAAATAAAATATATGATTATTGTTGTTATTAATGTTTTGATTTCTTCCGGTTTTAAGTAATATTTACTTTTCATACTATAATGTTTGTTTTATCAGGTCATACCATTTATCGTTCTTGCTGTCGGAGTTGACAATATATTCTTAATCATTCGAATGTATCAACAAATTGACATGAAAGAAGACGAATTAATTCCCGATTACATCGGTCGTGTTTTAAGCAAAATCGGACCGTCAATTTTCATCACTACTCTTGCAGAAATCACATGTTTCTTTATTGGCAGTTTGTCAGATATGCCTGTTGTTAGATCTTTTGCATTATATGCTGCCATGGCTTTGGTATTCAATTTTTTGTTACAGATGTCTTGTTTCATAGGTTTATTAGCATTGGATGCTAAACGAGTAAGTATTATACCTACCATATACTTTAAAAATATATTATACCTTTATTATTGAGCATTTATTGAATACTTTTCCAAGCTTGTGTACCTATCTACTGACTTGTATTTATTCATTTGTCTATTCAGAAAACAGTTAAGCAAGAAATTAAAAAACAAAGTTTAGTATACAACATGTTTCAAAATGTGTACGTTCCAACTTTAATGAACAAATTTGTCAGACCATTGATTGTATTATTATTTAGTGCTTGGCTTTGTATGAGTATTGTGGTTATTCCAAAAATTGATGTGGGTCTGGATGTCGAATTAACTATGACCCATGATTCTTATGTGCTTAAATATTTTAAAGTAAAGTATCCAATTAATATTAAATATTAACTTTTATAAACTAATTTAATTAAATATTTATTGTTTATAATAGTTTATGAAACGTTACTTTTCAACTGGACCCCCTGTTTATTTTGTGGTCACTGACGGGTTGAATTTGACTGATGTTAATAGTCAAAATCTTCTGTGCGGTGGTATTCACTGTGATCAATATTCAATCACTAATCAAATTTACAGAGCTTCAAAAACGGCAAATTTGTAAATGATTAATGTGAAGATTTCTCTGTGATATTATCTAACCCAAATTTTATTACTTTTTAGAACATATATAAACAGACCTTCCACATCGTGGATTGATGATTATTTTGATTGGACTGCTCTTTCAAGTTGCTGTAAAGTTACTCAGAACAATAGTTTTTGTCCACACAGCAATGATGATTGTACAAGCTGTAATATCATTAAAAATGAATGGGGTCGACCAAATGTTCAAGATTTTGCAAAATTTTTACCATATTTCCTGAAAGATAATCCAGATGAAAAATGTTCGAAAGCTGGACATGCTGCTTATAGCGATGTAATTATAAATAATATGATAATACCTAATATTATTTAATTTGTGRTATTCATTTTTTATGCTAATTTATTTATTTAACATACATATTAGGCTATTTCTTTAAAAAACAATTCAACTGGACCAAATTATTTTATGACCTTTCACACTGTCTTGAAAACATCTAAAGATTATTATGAATCAATGCGCTCTGCTAGATTAATAGCAAATAATATGACTAAAACAATTAAAGAAAAAATTCCAAATACGACCGCTGTGGTGTTCCCGTATAGGTGAGTTTTCACCAATTAATCACATTTATTATTATAATTTATAAAACTTGTTAATATCTGATTGTATTTGCAGTGTTTTTTATGTGTTTTATGAACAATACTTAACCATATGGCAGGTATGCGTTCAACATTTAGTGTTATCGTTTGTAATGGTAACATTTGTAGTGTGGACGTTTACTAATTTTGAAAAATCTTCAGCTTTTACTCTTTTAATAGTTAACACAATGATAACAGTAGACTTGTTAGCGTTTATGTATTATTGTGATATTTCTCTTAATGCAGTATCGTTAGTAAACATTGTAATGGTGAGTAATATAAAAACTTAAACATGGCCTAATTTAAAATATTATGAAACTGTATCTTTATTGTTTAGGCAATAGGAATAATGGTTGAATTTTGTGGCCATATAATTTTTCACAACTCAAAATCAATGATCTCTTGCCCAATTCAACGTGCTACTTATTCTAGTGTAGAAGTTGGAAGTTCGGTAAATACATAAATTTTATATCTAATGTATCTACTTTTATGTACAATGTACATAATAAAAGTAGGTATGTCWTATTGTTGTAATGAGTGAAATTTGTTGCATTGAACATAAAAATAATGAATGAGTTAGTTCTATATTATGTCAATTAATATATAATATAGATGCATATTTTTGATTAATAGGTGTTCTCTGGCATAACTATGACAAAATTTGCTGGCCTCGCTGTACTTGGTTTTGCAAACACACCAGTGTTTAAAATATTTTACTTCAGAATGTACATGGGTATTGTTATTATTGCTGCCTTGCATAGTTTAGTATTCCTGCCAGTTTTACTAAGTTACAAAGGTATTCTGAACTATTAATTTATTAACTAATCAATTATATTTTGACTAATGTATTTTTATGTCTCAGGTCCAAATTATGTTCAGGTAGAAAAGATTGATAGCACTAAGAAAAAAAATAGAAGTTGTAAGCTGCAATTGTTAGAAGTGAATGAACATTGACGAAAAAAAAATATCAATAAGTATAATCACTTTTATTTTTWTGTAACTGAAAACACCCAAGTTAATTTTATTTAGTTRCCTATTAGTCAATGAAGTTAATGAAAACTAATGTTAAGTATTTATTATACAAATGGTTTTACAGATAACCTAACTAAGTTTAGATGATTTTGTCAGGAAAACTTTATAATTAATAAAAAAAAAAAAAAAACAGATAACCAAAATATTTTAATTTACTGATATTAAAAAAAAAATCCTGTGGTAATTTTTTATGTTAGAATAATGCAATTCTCTTGAAATGTTAACTGTTAATTATAATTTGATTACCTATTATTCATAACTCAATTTGATTTGTGTTTTTAAATGGTGAATTTTTAGTTTGGATAATAGAAAAAAAATTTACTGAATAATCTAAGTAATATAATTAATGATTATAGAATTAGCAAATTTAGTTACTTTTAATCATTGCTATCTCATYAGATAATCACTGTTTTAAAATAATAATTTGCAAGGGTATAACATTATATTTGAATTAATAACTTAATTAGTATTAATATAATTTATATGATAAATTTATTTATTCTTATGATAATCTAATACAA